CAATATGACAATGGACAGGCCATGGACAGGATCACCCAACAGAAGAGGTACTAAAACCTTGCAGGAAACAAACAGCTTCGGATGGACTGTGACTAGGAGAGCATCAGTTCAACATCAGTCAAAGAGTGCCGTTATCAGCAATACCTCCATGGATACTACCTGATGCCACAGGAAGTATCCATTATTGGAAAAGAAGAACAGGGACAGGGTAGTTAATTCAAACGCACATACAGGACAGGCTTATATCGACAAGTATTATAATTATGTACAAATACATGCAAATGCATCAAAGAACACAGCCGGTCAAACTGGTGTAGCATTGGTTGTTCCGGAGTTTAAAGTCAAAATAGGGAAAGGATCAGTGACGGACTGTCAGTATACAGAAATGCTCGCAATACGGTTAGCTGTTCACTGGGTAGAAGACATGAGGCCGTTTAAAGCAGTAATTTGTTACGACTCTGGCTCGTCATTGGTCAGTTTACAGAGTAGCCGCTCAGAAAGCAGAGCAGATGTCCTAACAGAGGTTCAGCAACACTTCACAGAATATACACACATGTGTTTATGGATTCCAGCTCACTGTGGAGTCAGAGCAGATGAAATGGCAGACAGAGCTGCAAAGGAAGCCACAAAGCATGGGGTAGTGGACCTGGGTATTAGCCTCTGTCAGACAGAGATAAGGAGTATGGTAAGGCAAGAAATGAAGGAAACCTCAGTGATATGTAAATGAAACTGGATCTTATTGATTTACTGCAAAAGGACCCATGAAGTGAAAGTTATCAGGCCTTATTCCAGTTTGTAAAAGAGGGTAAATCGCTCGGGAGAATTTGTTTGTTTGGGGTTTTTTTGAGCGACGGTCCAGTTCACACTCCACACCAGTTGGAGGCGGTAATGCGCCGTTTTGTTTTTTGCCAACCGCCAATAAAAGTAAGAAAAAGAAGAAGAACGTTAACCTGGAGAGACAAGAAGACTCCATCTCCCACAATGCCTCGCACACAACGACCGGCCGTGAGAGGAGAGAAGAGGACGGAGAAGAGTTTGCGCTCCATCCATGGAGCTTTCCTCTGCAGGGCAGTGACGCAGAGGCAGCCGCAGACATGGTGAAGGATCAGGAAGTGGAGCGCATCGCCAGAAAGTTGGATAAAATGGTGCAGAAGAAGAGCACGGTGAGTGAAAGCAGCCGACAGGTGATGGTGAGCGAGGAAGGTAACACTTTGAAATCATGACACAGTTCAGATTTCAAACGGACACACCTGGAATCAGCTCAGAGCTAATCACCTGCAGTCAGGTGATTAGTGATGTCATTACATGGCACAAAATATTCAAACTGTAGTTTCCTGAACTCCAAATGTGACCAACGTGTGCAGCATGATGCAGACAGACCTCTGAGGCTGGACTGACGGAGAGGCTGTAGGCTTGATACTGTTTCTGTGCTGTGATGAGCTCTGAAACCTGACTGAAACTCTTCCAATAAACCATTCCTCTGCAGATGATCTGTTAGCTGTTTGACAACTACTCTTTCAAGGATGTTTGATATGAAAGGAAGGTTGGAGATTGGCCTATAATTAGCCAAGACTGCTGGGTCTAGAGATGCTTTTTGAGTAAAGGTTTAACTACAGCCAGCTTGAAGGCCGGTGGTACATAGCCGATCATTAGAGATAGGTTGATCATATTTAAGATCGAAGAATTAATTAATGGCAGGACTTCTTTGAGCAGTCTTGTCCTGCTTTCTGCTGTTACTCTCTTTTGCTTAACTTGCGCTCTTTGACTGTACTGAACTTTCTTCTGTTTGTCTGTCGTCTTGTCATGCAGCTCCTTGAGTTCTCGGTGAAACTTTGTTTGTTATCAAAGAGGTAAAAGATAAAAGAAATATTAGCTGTGTTTTTATTCCACCTGAATGTAAAGGTGTGCTGACCAAAGAAAAATAGTATTGCACAAAGGCAAGGCGAGTTTATTTGTATAGCACAATTCAACAACAAGGTGATTCAAAGCGCTTTACAGAGACATTAGAAACACAAACAATAAAAAGCATGATTTAAAATTGATTAAAACATGCAAACAAACAAACTAATAAACAAACAAACAAAACAGTATATAAAATCAAAACTGATAAAATCAGAACAGTAGATAAAATCAGTAGTTAAATGTAAGTTTTGAAATTTAAGCTTAAAGTGTGGATTTGGTGCTTTATTCAAATGCAGCTGAGAACAGGTGAGTCTTCAACCTGGATTTAAATAAACTGAGTGTTTCAGCTGATCTGAGGCTTTCTGGGAGTTTGTTCCAGATATAAGGAGCATAAAAGCTGAATGCAGCTTCTCCGTGTCTGGTTCTGACTCTGGGAACTGATAAAAGACCAGATCCAGATGACCTGAGGGATCTGGAAGGTTCATACTGGGTCAGGAGGTCATTGATATATTTTGGTCCTAAACCATTCAGAGCTTTATAGACCAGCATCAGGACTTTAAAGTCTATCCTCTGACGGACAGGCAGCCAGTGTAAAGACCTCGGAGCTGGACTGGTGTGGTCCACTTTTTTTGGTCTTAGTGAGGACTCGAGATTCAAATGTGAAGCTTTACTGAAAAACTTTAATAGTTTTTTAACATTCAGACAGAAACCTTCTTACAGTTTTTCACAACACGTTTATTTAGTAAACGACTAGGTACAATAAAATGGTGGTTCTGTTTACAGGACAATGCTCTGGACCTGCTGAGAGAACTGAAGAACATCAACATGTCTCTGGAGACACTGCAGGTGAGCAACTCCACAAACAATATGGTGATACGAAAAAGCCTGAAATTCACTTGCGTGAATTCAGTGTGCAGTAACACACCGGTGAGATTAAAGTCCACGAGGTTTATGAATACACTAGACCAAATCCATTTATCATTGCTGTGAATGTTTTCATTTAAAGCGCTGCAGAAATGTGTGTGTGTGTGTGTGTGTGTGTGTGTAGTCTACCAGAGTGGGTATGTCGGTGAACGCTGTGAGGAAACAAAGTTCAGACGAAGAAGTTCAGACTTTAGCCAAAACTCTCATCAAGTCCTGGAAGAAACTGCTGGGTGGGTAAAGAAAAACCGAAACGTGACGTATAATGTGTCTCCAGGTGACTGTTGTCAGTTCGCATGATTTAAGTTGCATCATCAAGTGTTAGAAACCGTAATCCCGAGTGTACAAACAGGAAGTAGAATTATGGCTGCAGTCATTTGTTAGTTTTTATCTGACAGAGGGTTCAGAGGAGAAGAAAAAGGACGGCTCTCCGGTGAGGTCTTCATCCACCTCCAAGGATTATGGCAGCAGTGAAAAAGGGTCTGTTGCACACTGGCGGCGGCGTCAGCTTGTTTACATGTTTGCGATCAGGAGAAAGTTTCAGTCAAATAAGAACTCTTCCTCTCTCCTCCTCCTCAGCAGTAAATCTTCTGAGGGGCCCCCGTCCACCCCCACTTCCCCAACTACCACCACCCTCTCTCAGGTCACCTCCTTCCCCCCTGCCCCTGTAACCATGGGCTGCGTGAGAAGCAAGAGTCGAGAGCTGCTGGTAGCGGCGCTGCAGACGGACGGTGAGAAGATAATGAAGTCTGGATCTTTTCAGACTCTGAACCCTGCCTTGATCAGATTAATCTGATCGTATCACTGTCTAAATGAGGAATCTGTGTTTCAGTAATCTCCTGTTTACACAAAGACCTGGAATCTGTCAGAGTTGATAGTCAGGTGTTTGTGGTGCTGTTTACAAGCATGAAGCTAACCAATGTTTGTGTTTTAGATGACCACAAGGCCATCAGAGTGGACTGCGAGCACCTGGCGGCTCAAATCGAAGAACATATCCTTTCGTGTTGCTATTGCTGAAACCTGACCACTGAACAGTGTCGGAGGGAGCATCCTCACAGGAAGGATCTCACTTTACTGGAGCAGATTTCATTCATGATTACATAAAAGCTTCAGTATTAATGAACACCAGCAGCACTACAATAAATGTTCTGCACGTTTTTCCAGTTCCAACACATTTCGCACACACTCTTGATCCTTGACGGCTCGCCATGTGCACAGATCTTCCAGGAGTTTAAGTCGACAGACATGAAATATAAAACCCGTCTACGAAGTCGAATCTCCAACCTGAAAGACCAGAAGAACCCAGAACTGCGCCGCAACGTACTGTGTGGAAACATCTCGCCACATCGCATCGCCTGTATGACTGCTGAGGTCAGTGCGTCTTCCTCTTTAAATAGGGGTCAGGGGCGGAGTTTCACGATACAGTGCAGTGTAACTGTATAACCCTTTATTACTTCTACAGTTACATCCATATATATTTGGACACTGACACAAGGTTTTTTGTTTTTTTTTAACCTGTTTTTTAGTTGTATAAAGAACATAATGTGCAGACTCTCAGCTTTCATTCGAGGGTATCCACATTGAAACTGGATGAAGGATTTAAGAGTTTCAGCTCTTTAACATGTGCCACCCTCTATTTAAAGGGACCAAAAGTAATCGGACAATCGTCTGAAAGGCCGATGGATGGTGTGGGCCAGGAGTCGTCAACCTGCGGCTCTTTAGTCCTTGTACTGCGACTCCGCGTGGTTTGGGTAAAATAAATTAGAAGTATTTAGCTGAAGTGTGTTTTACTTGTATTTAGTTCTTTTTTT